ATGTAAATCCAGCAATATATACAATTATAGATGTGTTTATGTTTAAAAATTCCACAAAGCCAAATAGTTAGTTATATGTATTATCTGTCAATAAGATTGTATTTTTTGGATTCAGTGTTCGAAAGGTAAATAATTGTGATAGTTTCCACAAACTCTTGGCATAAAATTCTACAGAAATGAGAGTTTTTATTAATAAGCAAAATGTAATATGCTACAATCCTCTGTTTATTTCGTTCGCTTCTTAACAGTTGCTTACAGCCTAAATAAATTATGAGGTTTACGTACAGACATGTTTTAACATACTTGCAAATTTTACATTATGTTAGTTAACAGAAGGTTCCACAGTGAGTGAACAGTGCTCAGAAGATTGCGCTTATATAGTTTTTACTCAGGCAGTTTAAGTTAAAAAAAATAAATGTATGCAGAAAATGGTAAAGGAGTTACATAATAAAGATGAGATGTGCGTTAGATGCATAGTGACTAGTAAGTTAGGTAACAATGTACTGAGTTGAGCTCAAATCACAGAAACAAGAGACAAGCAAAATTACAGATTATAAAAGGGAGAGTGAGGTCAAAGACAAAGATTACGTAGTCAGATGAGAGAAAGAAGGCATCCAGTTACCAAGGCAAGGAAAGACTAATAACTGCTTCTTTCTGAACACATAGATCCGGTTTCAAGCGTTTGATAGAAATCGCTTCAGCAAACTTAAGGAGAATTGAGCTCTTTTGCCTGTTGATAATTTTGAACGACTTTTCAACGTTCACCTTATGACCCGTGTTGAGGAGATGCCTGGCGATTGCACTGTTTAAAGCATTTGTTCCCTTTAGACGTAAGCTTTTTGATACGTGTTCAGAAAATCGTAGATATGCCCTTCTTTCTGTTCTTCCAATGTAACTGCTCCCGCAGATACATGCAAATTTGTATATGCAGTTGGAGGTCACATGAGAAGGATATCTATCGATTTTTGATTGTACCAAAAAGCAAGTTGTTTGATAGACGGGAACGAGCCTGGCTGCAGGATAGGCTATGGCTAGTGATGTACTCAGCCTTCTGTTGATCATCGCTGCAATGTTTTCACCTTTATGGTCAAGCTGAACGTAGACTGGCTTTCTACCCACTGTGATTTGTTTTACATTTGTGACTTCAGATCTTCCATACTTGTTGATGAACTTTTGAGGATACCCATTTCTCTTCAATATCTTTTCAAGGAACTCAAACTCCTCCTCTAGTTTCTCTATAGAGCATACCTCCTCGCTTTATAGTTCAGAGTCCTGACTTGACTACATTTAAAGCTTTTTGGACGAGAGCTATTTAAATGTAGGTATTTTATTTATTTTATTTCTTTTTGATTACTGCTTGATTCCACACTGTAAATTTGGTACAAGTATGTAATTTTCAGCATTTGATATCGGTAGCCCAAATTTTGCAGGCCGACCATAAATATCAGGTGTTCGTCAGCAAGGGATCGATCCTCGGACCATGTGCATGGTCGGCGAGAGTCCTAACCACTGTGTCACCAACGCACAAAGTATTGTTTTTCCCATGTAGGCTTTCTATAAATTGACTTTTGAAGACTATCGCCTTCTAGGCGTTCCATGGCGATTTCGAGGAAGTGGGACTTCCCGTCACTTTCATGTTCCATAGTAAACTCAATATCAGTGTGTGCGTCACTGAGTAATCTGAGTAAGTGTGAAGCATGACTTTCATTGTGGCGCACTATAAATATATCATCAACGTATTGACAGTAGGAAGTTTTTTCGTCGATAACACGCTTCATCTTTGTTCTTTCAAAGTTGAATCAGAGACCTGACTTCGCGTCATGAAGGTCACTTCGGACAAACTGCAGACTTTCGTCAACAGCTGAGTTCGCTCAATACTTCTTAAGATCAGTTGGCCGGCCAGAAGCGATCAGAAACTGCGATCTCTGGCAGTGAGCGAATCAACTCAGCAGGAACCAACTGTGCAACAAGTATGCAGGAAGTTATGAAGGTGGTTTGGTCATACTGTAAGAAAACAAGTCATCAAGTGGCATCACACCCTAGGCCATCGCTCGAGTGGAATCCGAATGGAAAGTGTCGAGTCGGTAATCAGTGTTAGGGTGGGATGACATGGAGGAGGAGATGCAAAGAGGAGATGAAAGCATGTGGGCAGACGTAAAGCCAGGTGGAAACGTTGGTGCTTTTGTGGAGAACCGATTACAGTGGAGAAGTGTGACTGAAACCCTATGTTCCTTTAGTAACTAAAGGAAACAATAATAATATAATTGCATTGATCTGTAGTATAAAGGAGGCATAAACACATTTTGTAACAGTTATCCTTTACTGAACTTGTTACCAGTCCACACGAAATAGAAACATGAGTGGTTGCATAATTAAACTAATTTGAGTAAAAACGCCTGGATATACTTGAAAATCAAGGGAAAATTCATTCAAAGGTAGAATGTGAATGTAGGCTAACTGCATAATTTTTGTCAAACAAAAAAACTGCAGTAAGATAAAGTCTAATGGTTTCAAGATATACGCGAACAAAAAAAAATCATAACTTCTCACTATCAACTTACTTCAAATTTTATATCTTCTCCTGTTGTTCTCTTTCATAAGGAATTAAAGGAACTAGGGAGGACGTCTAAATAATAGGAAGGATATCTCTGACAATGTTAAATTGTGATGGAACTAACAACTAATTTATAATTGTCCAAGTTTTCTTTGTGAACATCAAGAGCTCCAGATGTGGATTAAAGATCTGGTCGGACTATATATCTCACCATATACTATATATCAATCTGCAGAATTTCTCTGCTGATGCACACATGCGTGTAAGAACAAGGTGGTCAAGAATTAAGCTATTGCTTCGTATAATTTCTCCTTTTTCAACCATTTTTGGAAGACGTTCTTGTGCTAACCGAATTATGATCCTCCTGGCACAGCCTATGAATATTTTTGCCAGCCATCCAAATACAGAATGGTACGGTAAACTAAACTTATTAGGAGTTGGACGGATGGCTAACCCTTTTTTGTGAATCTTCATCAAACTGTAAAGACCTGAGATAGTCATAATACAGAAGGCTTAGTTCTTTCAGAAATCTCGACACTCATTACTGACTTTTCTTTCATTTTGAAGAGAGAATCTGTCAAATGGAGTCAATATCATCTTCGACTGACTTTTTAAACTTGGAGTTATTGCTAAGAATCTTTGAGATTCTTTCTACATAATCTAGTTTATTTAGCAAGAGAAAGAGACTACTTTATCGGTCATTTGTCCAGCTGGTCAGTTCTTCTATATTGATGACGGTTTGTTTATGTAGAAGTCAGTAATATTTCCTGTTTGAGTTTCTGAATTTTTGACTGAAGTTTAGAACAGTTAGCTTGATATGTAATCGTTGTGCACGAGAGATAGAAACTAAGTCTTTTGTTTGACTAGTGAGACATATAAATGTATTTCTGTTCGAAAAAGGCTTTGTTGGAATTTTGATGATCAGACTTGATGCCAAGTAGTGAAGACTGAAGCTATTTAATCCAAAGAGTTTGATTGGGGAAGTTAAAACAAAGTACTCTGGGTTTGCTGGAGATTTTGCAGTAAATATGAGCAATTTCATTGCACACAGAATTTTCTGCTTCTTTTTCCACTTACGTTTCTCAATGAATGCGGCATCATTTTTGATCAGCATTAGATAAATCGCCCGTTCAGCAGTTTTTGACATCCCGTTTGTGACCCGAATTGCGTATACGTGAGTGTAGGCTGCCACGTATGTCCTGAGCATGATAGCTTAGGATTTTGGGATGCAGGTGGATATGGCTTCCACGAAGAGCTTTTTATTCAAGCACCAAAATTTTGAGTAACCTAGAATCATGACATGTTTGCTATACATGTTTTATATGTAGCATATAGTTAATCTGTATACGTGATAGTGCATCAGCAGGATGTTTTGATTTTAGGATCATCATGTTTTGATACACTTTTCTGTTCTTCTGCCGCAAAACTGAAGTGAGTGGATCATTTCATCTGACAGAACTCCTCTATGTGTATCTACCAGTTTGACTACTTCTGTGGAGCCAGTTATATAGGTCGTACAATTAGGCGTGTTTCTCATCAGATTTTCAAGCACCACCGTGCGTGGTTAACTAAAGGACAAACAAAATCCATTTAGAGCTCTATTCTATCTCATCTTGTGGATACAGAACTCAAGACTGATGTGAACGAGGCGGATCTCAAAGTCATCTACCATATACCAACTAATCTTAACTTCGCCTTAAGAGCTCGTCTAATACATACTGCTGAGGCCGTTGGGAGCCACATTAAGAAGCCTAACTTATGTGTCCAAAAGAAGCTGGTTCAGACAGTAATCTTATCTTAGCCATCAAGATTTTAATGATCCTCAATTTGTTGTTGAAATTTCCTTCATTTTATTTGATACTATATTCTCTATTACATTTCTTGAACTGTAATTCCACTGATCATACTTAACAAATGTATAGTATTTAAAAACACCGATATTGTTAATGACGACTATTCTAGAATATTCTATGTAAATAAACTTATGTGTAATTGTAGAGCCAGAAGAGGAAATTATCTAAAAGGATATTCTTTGCTGAATTTTTTTTTAAAATGTTTTGAAAACCTGGATGGCTGATTGATCTAACTGACTGTTTGCTTAGTGTCTTCATGTTATTTAGCTGATTTCTTATCGAAGCGATATTTTCTAATGAAAGTTTCACTTCCATTTCTTCAATTAAAATTTTGATTTTTTTTTAACACGGAAATCTGACTTAGGTTTTTTGTTAACTATTAAGAAAGAAAAACAACAAGAGTTTGCAGGTTTTGCAAAACACCCATTAAGATACACGCCCATACTTGACAAATTATAAACTGTCAAATCATGAATTAAAATTCAGATCACAAAGTGAGATTTAGGAACAGCCCAAATGATTGATTTCAAAAGTTTTGAGAAGTCTATATAAAAACAGTTTGGAAACAAAATTGTTTTATTACTAAGTCTGTCATGAATTTAATCGCTGTTTTCATTGTATTATTAGCAGTTTCAAATATTGTAAAGTGTGAATTCACTTGCCGTATTCCAAAGTCGATCCCCCTGGTAAGATCACTTTAACATGCATATTCTTACTTTTATCTAGCAATATACAATAGGAGGTCAACCGGGTAATACTGAGAAAAGAAGCACAAAACCTTCTCGTTTGAAGTTTTATGTAATTTATACGGCTGGTTTCAACCGATTACCGGAAGCTCAAAAACTCAGGGTAATTATAATGATTAAATGGAAACTTCTGCCATTTAAATATACACTTTTGTGAAATTCTTGCGACACTGGCATGCAATAAAGATGAATAACTAATGAAATGTTTGATCCCATGAAAGAAGATTACAGAATAATTGATAGTAACACTGTGAATTTCGGTTCCAGGATTTCATCATGAAACGATATCGGTTAAAAAACCATTGGGAAACCCACCAGGAGGCACTGGACAGCTGTTCCTTCAGCCTATTTTGGGACTCTTCATCAGTATGCACCCAGTGGGGTTCGAACCTGGGATCTTCTGGCAACAAGGTGACCTCGTAGACAATTAAGCCACTGGGACCCGATCCAGTGACATGCCTATGGATTCTAACTTCTGCCAATTCACGATATAGCGCAACAGCTAACCAATGTCATCTCTGGCGAATACTTGTGCTCACACTCAACCCACTGCAGCCTACAAACGAATAGTTGAATTGTCAAATTTGTTGTTTGCATAGCAACATTTAAGCATAACAATTATGTTACTTTGTATAGTATAAAAGTAAATGTCGACTGAAAAAGTTTTTACAATTTCGATTCTTCTAGACACTAGTAGAGGATGCAACAAAATTTTGGGAGAAAGCATTGACAGTCAAAATCCAGGAGATGAGAAGCAACTTGTGAAAAGGTAAGTATGAAAATGATTTTATTTTGAAATTTTTTTAACCATCATCATTTCACACATCAACATGAGGTTTTCTAAATGTGTTCATTTCCTATTTAGTTTCTTTATTAGTGTACATGTTATGACTATTGTTCGTTCCTTGCCTTCTAATTTGAATATGGGGCTTTTGAGACACATCTCTATTTCACTAGGTTCAATTTTATCTCAAAGAATCTTCTCCATGTTGCCATCAGATGGTCATATCAGTTTCTCACTTCCCATTCGCGTTCCATTCGATTGTTAGCATGGTGTGTAATACCACTCACAGATCCGTCTTCTTATAATATGTCTAACCCATCTTCATTTCCTTTTTTTATCTGTTAAGTGACAGGTTCTTGGCTAATTCTGCGCCTCCATGACCATGGTGATGGTTACTCTTTCAAGTCGGTCATTTGTGCTCCCATATCAATAGAGGAACGCGGCAGTTGGTCATGATATTGTTCAGTAAACTTTTGGAAGCGCCTTTAATGACAAGCATATGAAGCCTCTGAAATACATAGACATGACTCACTTTAGATTTCTCTCACTGATGATAACCGCTGTTTGTTGATGTTTTTGCTTGGTTTATTCACCTGAAGCCCTGTCCTTGAAACTTACTCCATCTACTAGTCCTCTTTTGATCGCAAATCCACCAGTTTACGAGACATGAATTATCAATGAAATCCACATCTTCTAAGATCTCGGCCCATCTAATTCTGTTCTCACCACGTATTATCTAGTTTGTCACGGTCAGAGATATCACCAGTGATGGTAGACAGTCATGAGTAGTCCTATTTCTACTTCGAATACTTCCGTAAGCTTTCTGGGCATCACATTCTAACAGGATGTTTAACACAACTTAATATACACTTGTGGAAAAATGCATGTTAGGACATTAGGACACACCTATTTCGTTAGGAAAAACAAGAATAACGAGAATACTAAAACATTACACAAATGAATATTGTCTGTTATTTCTCTTTCTAGATATTGTAATGACAACTTCTACTATACAGTTAGCGGAAACAATTCTTTATACTGTGTAAATTCAAATTGTAACAGTAAAGCTATGTGTGGTTCCCTAGAAATTCCAGATCAATACGCAGCTGTAAGTGATCTTTATACATCTGTGATACTTTACTCCTAGTAACTGACTCCTCGAATGACTGATTTTTACTGAGTTTTAAAATTTTGTGACAAAGTTATGCACTTCATATCTTTCAAGTTCAAGAACTTGGAGGAAATCCAGGAAAACAACCTATGTATTCTATATATGGGTGATTTCACTAAATGACATGTCGTAACTATCGCCCTACGATCCATTAAAATTATGAGGGGTATAAACAACAATTAATTTTGGTTAAAAAAAAAGTGCAATTAAAGCGGTGCTATTGAACCGAAGTTTAATCATTGATAATGAATGCCACTATGTATGGAGTTGTCAATTAAAACATGTATCCTACTATGTGATGACAGTTTGCGCAGAAACCTATGCTTGTCATTCTCTAGCCGACGAATGATTGGGACGAAAATGAAGGATAAACTGGATAGTTTTGCCACATCTGTGTGCATTTATCAGTTCAACTGCACCTACAGTGACAGTCATGTTGGACATACTACTAGGCAGCTTAGCCAACGTGTTAGTGAACATCTCCCATCGTGGTTTAGCAAACGACAGACAAAGACAATCCGTAGCTCAGTTTTGTCACATTTAATTGTTAGTGGTCATGTAGTCGAGAAAACGATAGCTTTCAAAGTAATTCACTCTATCCCACTGATTTTTTCCGATAGACTTCGTACTTGTCTACTGCACACAGCTGAGACAGAAGACATTTGAACTAATAAACCTAAACTATATATTCAGGAGAATTTTTTACGGCCATTATCCCTTCCATGGCATATTATGACATAACCAGCTGATGAATCCTTCACCACCTCTTAATTATATTTTTTTCAACCCCTCCCTTAATATCCCTCAGTCTTTTCACATCTTCATTGCTACGTATTTTATTTACTTTCATTACAGTCTAGCATTACTTAATCGGTTCATTTGTTTATTTTAGCCTTAATCGACTATTTCTACCTGAACATTTGTTTGTTTAATCATGCTGTTTTTTGTTATTCTTGTTATCACAGATCGCTTGACTTTTCACCCTTATCAGTGATGGGAATATTAGTATTATTATCATTACTATTATAATGACTAATTGCACGATTTATATTCACCATCTTATTATCCTTTAGACAAAGCACCATGATTAGTTTATATTTGAATTTTTATTTGTATAGTTATGTATATTATAGTTAAACCTGATGAGAACTAATTGAAAGTCAAATATTGTTCGCTTAAATGTGCTGTTCTAAATGAAATTTGCCAATTAAACCACCTAATCTATATGATCGAAGGAAAGTCATGTGTAACCATATCTCATACAGAAGTTCTTGTTTAAGTTCGAAATGTCAAAACACGACTTCATGTCACATGCAGACAGACATAGAGTTCATGTATTCTAGGTATCTAGGATTCAGTCAAAATGCGGGTGAAAATTTTATTTTTCATATTGATTTCATACTCAATAGTTTCTGATGTGCAGTAATGGCACACGTCTCCTTTATTCTGATACCACTAGTTTGAATAAAGAGAATTTATTTCACTGCTGTGCAATAAATTCCACGTAATTCTCCAGAGTAAGATATATAAATGTATATAATTATGCGTGTAGACTGATTGATTTAACATTCACGAGATCCAAACACAATTATTTTTTACTAAAATATGAGACATGAACTGACAGTTCTTCATCATTAATTAACAAAAATGTACTTCAAGTGTTGGTTTGTCAGGGATTTCATTGGCTTCAGGATTTCATCACGAACTGACATCGGTTAGATAACCATTGAAAAACCCACTAGGGAGTACTGGACAGCCATTTCGTCCTAGTTTGGATTTTTATAATTTAATAAAATGAGTTCATTTTGGTTGTCTAATTTGAATATATATATATATATATATATATATATATGTATATATATATATTTGCTTTAAAGGAATGCTATGAACAACGCAACAATTTGTTACATCGACTTTATACTAATGGAAGCGGTATACCCGGAAATGGTTATGTACTTATTGCCGATGCAGATGAAGGAGATTTATGCACAGGTTCAACAGCAGCATATGCTGCGTCATGTCACATGGATCCTAGAACTGACAGGTAATTTACTGCATGCAAAAACAACAATTCACCGTCTATATGACTATTAGATCTACAGCCTTACTAATTTCTAGGTTTTTTCATAGAATTCATTTGTCAGTTACATGAAAAAAAATAAATAAAAAATGTATGTATTAATGCGAAGCTAAAGGTGTCGTTAGATGTCGCATCCCTATTCATTAATGTACCACCTATGAAGACTGCGAAACTCGTATATTAACAGACACTAAAATGGCAGAATGACGTAGGAATCGCAATTCTAATTTTCAACAACCTGCTTCTAAGATTCATTGTATGATATACACTTCATACTTAGCAACATCTATTACAGATGAATAGATGACATTAACACGCATTCTTCATGACGCTCAATTTTGGCAGATGTTTTCCTTGCTAAGCTTGAAAATGATCCATTGAAATAAGTAATGTATAATCAGGATACTTACTGTCTTTACAATGATGACACGATTATCATTCCTGATCAGAAAGCAGGGAAAACGGGATGCTTATAAAACTTTATGATATATATCCATCAGTCGGAACAAGAAGGAAAATTTAATTTCCTCGGAATCCATTTGAGCAGAAGAGATGCTTCACTCAAGAGAGACATCTACAGAAAACTGTCTTTTGGACAGTATACGGATTTCCTCAATTTCATACCCACCTGATACGATAACAATCGGTGAAATGCCTCACAAATGAGATAATTAGTTTTTTATTTTTATTTTTTTTATTACAGATTGATTCCACACTGTATTCTTGGTACAAGTATGGAATTTTCAGCATTTGATATCGGTAGCCCAAATTTCACAGGCCGACCATAGATATCAGGTGTGCGTCGGCAGGTGATTGAACTACAGACCATGTGCATGGTCGGCGAGACTCCTAACCACTGTGCCGCCGACGCATTGCAATGATGATACATGCATAATGCACTGGACCAAATGGGTTATTTTAGTCGGTTTGCAGGGAGACATACAAGCAATGTGTACAGAGAACAAAGAGAAACCAAACGAATTGTTTCTGAAGTTTCGATCCAAAGGAGACGTGGCTAGTTCTACATCTAAGATTATCTAGAGCCATACATAGGGACTTACACTAATGCCATGCTTCTTCTGTCATCTAACAGCCATCCAGCTATGGTCGCTAGATGATGAGTGGATAGTAAGCCACCAAGTCATCCCACATCTGTGTACACTGACAAATATGACTGCTCATTTGTGGAAGGCTATGTAGCACAAACAACTATTCGGCTTAACAAACGATTCAATGAGGATTTCCTTTCAAGATTCTGAAAAGGTCAAAAAATCTTTAAGGGACTATACTTTGTCTCATTTAATTGATAGCTGTCACTAATTTATGCACAGTTATTTAGGACCAAACTCCTTCTGAATGAGTAAGTTTCACATGTGCTTTTAATAATCTTCCGTATGTAAGGTAGATATTTCTTTTATTTCGAAAGCAAAGTGTAAATCTGTATTTTCTATTTTAGGCCTAATGTTGGATACGTGAACTTATGTCCAAGTCAAATAGACCTAACATACCCAGGTGGTAAAGCTTTTCCAGGAATTATGATCCATGAAATCGGTCATGCACTGGTAAGCATATTTTCATTTTAGCTTATGTAATATTAGGTGTCAAATACAATGCAGTTAGAAAGTTTCATGGAAATTTGAAGTAATGTCTGAGTAAATTACTGTCCTATGAACTCGCATATATTTGACATTCAAACCAACACGATTCACATTCCTTGCAAGCGTTATTGCTTGCAAAATAGAATTGATTAAGGATGCCCATTAGAAATTTTCTACGCATCACCATCGAACAAAGCATAGAATGGCAGTCAAACCTCTCTCTACCTCAACTTCATCGATTTTGAAAGGGCTTTCGACAGTCAGTGTAGAACGAGGAGTAAATTGGAAATTACTTCAACACTATGGCATACTTCAAGTCTTTGTCATCCTCATTCAACAGGTGGTTAAATGAAAATGCCACTTGTCAAATGATCCACAACGGAAAACTCAGTGAGGCGTTTGAAGTGCATAAATGAGTGAGAAAAGGCTGACTGACTGCTATCACCCAAGATGATACTCCTAATTGTGATGGACTGGATTATGAGGAAGACTGTGCACAGAGAGCGAAATGTCAACAATATGCTGAACCACTGATAAGAATACTCTAAAAGATCTGGATTTCGCATACGATATATGTCTTATTATTATTATTATTGCTCTCTTGGGTTCCTAGTGGAACATAGGGCTTCAACTGCACGTCTCCATTTGCTTCTGTCTTCTGCTGTACTTTTCACCTGAATCCATGTTAATCCATATTCTTTCAACTCCTCTTCACACGATCTCCTCCATGTCACCCTTGCACTGACGTCACACACGCCGTTTCCTTTTCGGGTTCTACTCGAGGGCTTGACGTGCGATGTCACTCAGCGGTCTCCTCAGCGAGTGTCCGATCCATCTCCACTTTCTCCTGCATATTTGTTGGTTGTCGATTGATTCTTGTTTTGTTTGTTTGTTTGTTCCCATAATTCCTTGTTGGTGATTCTTTCCGGCCATCTGATCTTCAGTATAGAGCCAGCGAAGACAGTTGTTAATAAAGGTCTGCAGCCTTTTGGAAATATTCTTTGTGACCCGCCCGCCAAGTTTCTGATCCGTATAGAAGATCTGACTGACTTGACGTTTGTATTGAAAATCCAGCCGAATTTTGTTGGTGATGCTGAGTGACGAAGATTTCCAGATTGATTTTAGGTTGATGAATGTGTTTCTCGCCTTCCCGATTCTCGCTCGATTTGACATCCTCGTCGGCTCCTCCTGTAGTTGAGACAATGCTCCCTGGATAAGTGTGTGAATGAAGTAACCTCTTTCAAATCCCTCCCGTTGATGGTGATTGACGTTGGATGCTGATGCTGTTGTTGTTGTTGGTTGGTTATTTTCATCACGTCCGTCTTGTCTGTGTTTACCTGGAGTCCTGTCTTTGCTGCTTCTTCGCTTCTTTCGCTTGTAAGTCTTTGATTGTGTGTGACATCAAAGATAAATCATCCACGCGCGAAATCCAGGTCTTCCAGATTCTACACGTCGATCCAGAATATCCCTGTCTTCTCGTTTCCCTCTGTCTGACGCATAATCTAGTCAGTCCACCAGAATTAGGAATATCATTTGTGATAATAAGCACCCTTGTCTGACTCCTGTGTTTACTCCAAACGCCTTGCTGAGTTTTTCGTTGTGGATCACTTGACATGTCTCTCCAGTAGGTAGTTGGCACCTTCCAGTTCCGTTCCATCTGCTTTCGCAGATTCCCAACACTTCTATTCTGCACCTTCTCATTTCAGTGGCTACCTGGGCAGCCTTTCCAGTTTCGTACATTGTACGAACATTCCAGGTACCCATCCTTACTTTTGCTTTCATCGAAAGGAGGCACATCGACTGACTGTCTTCCCGAAGGCTTTCAGCAGCCTGCGTCATTTCACTCCCCCGATTCCAGCGAAAAATAAGGCTATTGTTTATGTTTTTAGAATTTTTAATATATTTATTCGTTGAAGTTTCTGTAGCGATTTGGTTGTTTTACAGGGGTGGAGTTGCTAGCACCACGCCCCGACCCTCCTTCTTTACCCGGGCTTGGGACCAGCGAGAAAACTAGTAAGCTAGTAGCCTAGCAAGCTAGTATCTGGCAAGGTTCGATATATGTCTAATGTCACACAAACGAAAAGCAACAAACTCGCTGAAGTGGCAGCGAAAACAGGACTCCAGGTGGACACAGAGAAGATGGAGATGATGAAGGTAATCAACGAAAAGCAACAACAACAGCAAGCAGCACCAACCACCATCAACGGGAGAGATTTAACAGAGGTTGCTCCTTTCACTTATCTGAGAATTATTTATTATTGTATCCTTTAGTTCCTAGAGGAACATAGGGCTTCAGCTGCGCACCTCCATTGACTTCGGTTTTCTGACAACTTTTTCACCCTGCTCCAGGTCTGTCCACATGCTTTCATCTCCTCTTCACATGACCTCCTCCAAGTCACCCTTGGACGACCAACTCGCCGCCTCCCTTTCGGGTTCCACTCGAGGGCTTGTCTAGTGATGTCACTTGATGGTTTCCTCAGCGTATGGCCAATCCATCTCCATTTCTTTCTGCCTATTTGTTTCACAATCGGTTCCTGATTGGTTCGCTCCCAGAGATCCCTGTTGCTGATCTTTTCTGGCCATCTGATCTTGAGTATTGAGCGGAGACAGTTGTTAATGAAGGTTTGAAGTTTGTTTGAGATGCTCTTTATGACTCGCCAAGTCTCTGATCCGTATAGTAGCACTGACTTCACATTGGAGTTGAAAATCCGGATCTTATTTTTGATGCTGATTGCTGTTGACCTCCACACAGATTTGAGAGTAATGAAAGCTTGTCTTGCTTTTCCGATTCTGGCTTTGATGTCCTCGTCAGTTCCGCCTGTAGTTGAGACGATGCTTCCCAGGTAGGTGAAGGAGGTTGTTTCTTTCAGGTTCTTCCCATTTATGCTTATTGTGGTCTGTTGTTGCTGTTGATGTTGGCAAGGAATCTTCATCATCTCTGTTTTATCTATGTTCACGTGAAGTCCTATCTTTGATGCTTCTTCTGCCAACTTGTTACTTTTCATTTGCATATCTTCCAGTTTATGGGAAATCAGACATATATCATCGGCGAAATCCAGATCCTCCAAGTCTTTTGTGTCAGTCCATTTTATGCCTGTTCCCTCGTTGGTTGCCGTTGTCTGTCGCATTATCCAATCAATTGCAATCAGGAAGATCATTGGTGATAGTAGACAGCCTTGCCTCACTCCCGTCCTCACTTCGAAGGCTTCCGTAAGTTTCCCGTTGTGGATTACTTGGCATGCAGCATTGTCGTATAACTGTTGGATGAGGTGTATAATTGTCGATGGGACCCCGTAGTAGCGAAGTAGTTTCCAAATGACCTCTCGATCGACGCTGTCGAAGGCCTTTTCAAAGTCGATGAAGTTGAGATAGAGAGGTGACTGCCATTCCAAGCTTTGTTCAATGATGATCCGTAGAGTGGCGATTTGATCAATACATGATTTGTTTCTCCTGAATCCAGCCTGTTCCGGACGAAGTTTTTCATCTAGGGCTTGTTTGATTCTCTCCAGGATGATGCGACTTAGTATCTTGCTTGGAATGGACAGAAGCATAATTCCACGCCAGTTTTTACATTGACTTAAGTCTCCTTTCTTTGGAAGTTTGAATAAGTAACTGTTCTTCCAATCCTCGGGTACTTTGCCCTCTTTCCACACCTTCTCCAGTAGTGGTGTCATCAAGTCCGCTGTTGTCTCTGGGTCTATTTTCAAAGCCTCTGCTGGGATTCCATCTGGTCCCGGTGTTTTCCCAGTTTTAAGCATCTTGATTGCATTCAGGACTTCTGATTTCGTCGGGGGGTCAGTGTTCACTGGTAGTTCTGCTTCCGTTGTTGGTATTGCTGGACGTGTTGTAGGTGGCGGACGATTTAGAAGTCTTTTGAAGTGTTCAACCCAGTGCTTTCTCTGTTCCACCTCTTTGGTGATTGACTTTCCATTGTCGTCCTTTATTGGCTTAATCTGTGTCGAACGTTTGCCCGAAAGGTTCCTAGTTGTTTGGTAGAGTGTGGCGAGGTCTCCTTTGCCTGCAGCTTGTTCTGCTTCGTTTGCCATGGTTTCATAATATTTTCTTTTGTCTTCCCTGGCACTTTTCTTCACTCTTTTGTTCAGTGTATTGTAGCTTGCATTCAGCTCCTGTTTTTGTTGCTCGTCCGTGCACTGGATAATCTTTTGCTTCACTGTCCTTCTCTCTTCTATTAGTTTCCAAGTGTCCGTAGTGAGCCACTGTTTGTCCTGTCTCTTTTTTCTGCCTAGAATTTCTATGCAGGTTTGGCTCCACACCGTTTTCAAGTTGTTCCAGTGCTTTTCAACGCCGACCTCTTCGCTAGTGTTGATTTGTGTCTCGGCTTTGTCCTTTATGCTTGCAATGAAGATGTCCTTTGTAGCCTGGTCCTTCAGCTTTTGAGTGTTGAACTTGGCTTGTGGTCTATCTGCAGCTCCTCCTTCCCTGAAAGCTTTTAATTTGATTTGGATTGTCCCTTGTACGAGATAGTGGTCTGAGCCAACGTCTGCTCCTCTTCTTGCTTTTGTGTCCAGTAGGCTGCGCCTCCACTTCCTTGAGATTGAGATGAAGTCGATTTGGTTTTTGGTTTGCCCGTCTGGTGACACCCATGTAGCCTTGTGGATATCTTTGTGCTTGTATACACTGCCACCAATCACCAGTTCGTTGAAGGCGCAGAAGTCGGCGAAGAGTTCTCCGTTTTCATTCATTTCTCCTAGAGCTTCTCTACCCATGATGAGTTCCCTTCCCGTATTGTCTGGTCCCAGTTTGGCGTTCATGTCTCCCATTAGTATTTTCATGTCGCCAGCTGGAGTATTGTCCATTGTTGCCTGTAGTTGCCTGTAGAATTCTTCTTTCTTCTCGAGGTCTGCGTTGTTTGTGGGTGCATAACATTGTATGATTGACACTTTCCTTCCTTTGGAGTTGAACCTGGCGGTCATTATCCTGGACGAAATCGCCTCCCATTGTATCAGGGCTTTCGTTGCCGTTGGTGACATCATGATAGCCACGCCCTCGGTGTGCGTGTGGTTATCTTCTGGGTGACCGGAGTAGATCACTGACTCACCTGTTGACAATTTGGTGAGTCCACTCCCATTCCATCTGCTCTCACATATTCCCAGCACTTGTATTCCGTATCTTTTCATCTCGTTGGCGATCTGGGCAGCTTTCCAGTCTCGTACATAGTTCGGACGTTCCATGTTCCTACACAGACTTTTTCTTTTGGTGCAAGGAGGTTCAACATACTGAAGTTTCTGTAGCAATTTTTGTTTACAGGGTGGGGTTGCTAGCCTCACGCCTGAAAACATTATCAGGGCGAGGCGAGAAGCATCGTTTCAACTACAGGCGGAACGGACAAAAATGTCAAAGACTGAGTCGGAAAGGCAAGATACGCCTCCATCAGCCTGAAATCAGTTTGAAAATCTTCTGCGCTTAGCATAGGGAACAAGATTCGAATTTCCAGCACATATGTGAAGAAATCCAGTTTTTCTATACGAGTCAGAAACTTGGCGTGTCACGAAAAGGATTTTCAACAGGTTGCAGACGTTTATCAACAGCTGCCTTGGTTGGCTCCATTCTGAAGATCAAATGGCTAGACAGAGTAAGCAACAAGAAACAATAGGACAAACAAACCAAGAGCCGTTATGGATAAGATTTTATTTTGATAAATCACAAAGTGTTGTACAGTTATATTAACTGAGCCGATTGCTAAACAAATATGCAGACGAAAATAGAGATGGCTCGGGCATACACTGAAGAGGCCATGGAACGTCATCACGCTCCAGGCCATAGCTCTAGTGGAATCCTAATGGGAAGAGATGAATGGGTCATACTAGGGTGACATGGAGGAGATCGTGTGAGGAAGAGATGAGAGATTGTAGGCAGTTGTGAACCAAGCTGAAGAGGACGGTAGAAAACAGAACAAAGTGGAGATGTGTTGTTGAAGCGCCATGTTTCACTCGGAACGCAAGGGAATAATAATAATATGCTAATAATTAGAAATTCTTAAGGATAGAACAAAGAATATTTTACAGTTTTATATCCATAATATTGCCAGAAATGTGGTTACTGACAGCATGAATGTTTCTTTTAAATAAAGCAGAATTAATGACATCAAAATTCAATAGCTTCTATGTGGACATACTGTTACAGATTACAGTTCAAACGTGTTTATATTATTATAGGCGTAAATGGAACCCTAAATTTAACACCAGTATTCCAAAGTATATGATCGTGAATAATAAGGAATATATAGCGATCCAAATGATTCAAGTAAACGATACATATTCAAGAGAACTACGTCCGGCCTCTGTGTCTAAAAGAGCTTTCATAAAAAATCGATCCTCTCGATAATGATTGTCATGTTACCTTTCATATCCAATCTTCCTCTTTATTATCATGATTTTTAACTCCTATCTGCCTTATTATGTCTTTTCAGATAAGCTGATTGTCTATTTTGTCATTATTATTATGGTTTTAATTCCTAATTGTGCAAAGGGTCAAGTTTCTTAGTAATGATTATCTTACCATGGTTTATATCCGATCTTCCTGTTTATTACACTTTGTAGTTTTATTAACTTGACCACTGACCGGAAATAGTTCTGGAATCGTCCTTACCCATTCATTATTAGTACACGAACGTACAGCCTAGCTGATGTCTTCGTCACTGGACTTGTTGCTTTAAGCGAATTGTAAAAGCCTTTCCTGTTTGGATTAATCGGTACATTTAGTTCTCATCCGAGGAAGTGAAAGATTCTTCAATATAGCCAGCTTTATAGTTTGTCCGGACGATGTGATCTAATATCAAACTTTTGATGGTTTTAACTACACCTGTATTTAGTCACACCAGTAGATGTTATCGAGCCCGTAAAATTGATTTGGATGTGGCGTTTTACTTCTGTAGCTTTTATTATCTTGCAAATAAATCTACATGGCTATGCTGAATATGCACCTTTTATATTTCAGGGATTCACATCCAGTAGTTTTCCATTTATGCGTGATTCATATGGAAAGCCTCGAACCCCAAGAGATAGGCATAATAAACCAATATATACAGATGAATATGGAGATTATATTCCAAGGTAATTTCTTCAAACACGAATTTCTTTGAATTATTTTTAAAAGGGAGCAAATTAACTTGTCGGGTAATGTGCTAACTAGCATGAGTGTTTATGAAAACGTCTTCGTTATATTATCTGTCATACATATGATTAGAAAAACGTTCATTCCACAGATATTTCATTACTGTGATCATATCGACTCTTCGCATTTAAACCTTAGCTCATTTACTCTATTTGTGGCATGGTATCGTCAGAATCAATCTATAGGAAGTTCCAAACACACGTTCCTTGTTTGTTAGTACACGTCGATAAGGCACGATCGTAACCCCTAAAAGATATTTACCTTTGTCACACATGCCACCTAATCAGTGGCATTACCTTTGGCGTAATTTGAAATAGATTTGTCTCAGGATAACCATATTGGATGTAATAATAAGTATACAGAGTGCGAGAAACATCATGTTGTCGAGTCTTTTAATGGTAACAGTATTCGATAGGTCTCTCATTCTGTCAGTATGTAAGCTTGAAGCTTATTACCCACTCACTGTAACTATCTCGCATTAGATCAGCTGCACAACGGTGACGAACAAACTATCGTCTAGTGACATGGGGAAGTTATAGGCATTAATAAGTCATCCTGTAAACCAGACCATATGATAACGATTACTTTACACCCACAAAACAATGTATTTTTCCATTACCCTTTGGTTCAGTGATAATTATTCCTATATTTGTCTTAAAACAATGGACGAAATATTCCCATATTGAGTCATTGGAGAAAAGACGTAAACAGCGAAGAAAATTTTCTTTTCGACGATTCATCTTCATAGGCTGTACAATCGTAATTGTATTTAATAAAGAATTCATGAGACCAGTCAGATACTGGTAAACTTTGTCCTCGAAAAAATCTATAACATAATATAAGGTGTGATCGAGAAGGGGTGACTGATTGGAGATTAGAAAGGGAGGCAGAGGTTTGCATGACGTAATAAGTGTGAGATAATGACTGATCAATATACTTGTGTAGAGGGACAAGAACTAGTGAAGAGACAATGAAGTGTTCTTATAAAATCTGTATAAACCCCACACCCTGTTATCAATAACGAGTAGTAGAACACAAAATACAAGAAGATTGCTGAGAATAATAGTGATAATGAAATAATAATGGCAATAATAACAGCAAACTTATATAATAACAAAGAAGACGACCACGGTAGGCCGAGTGGATGTATGAAGTACTTCTGAATGCAGAGGTCCGGTTTCAAATTTTGAAAGCCAATAATTCAGCTATATACAGATGGCGCATTCAAAGTCCTTTCGTACGATATTGAGGGACTGTGTGTAACAATGTGAAGCATTCATACGGGGATGCTGCATGTCCAGATTTAATGGTGAAGTTTCGTGCTCTTTATTAAAGCAATTGGTATATATAGGAGATGATTTATGTTTGAATTACTACAAACCCGCCAACGAAGAAGGAGACGGTATGACTTACAACCACACAGTATATGAGAAATATTCGCATAAATATTCACACTGCGTATTCCAATCTAAAATCTTGATAAAGATGCAATAAAAATAATTTGGAGACAGAAATTATTGATATATTCTGAAAAATGAAGGCTGACGATTGAAATTAAAACTATGATACCGATGAGACAAGTGAACATGCGTGTGTCGGTTTTTTAGATGTTGTATCAATATTACATGAGAAATACTGGCGTTTATTTGGCTGTCAAGACTTCATCCGATGGAAAATGTTATATCTAACTGTTGTTAAGTTAACGACAAAACCTCATCGAGTTTGATGAACCAAAATTTAGTAATCAAAACTTAAAAATCATATAATGAGGAACATATTTAGATTTGTAACCGTTCAATTAAAATTACCATACCCATCTTTACACTGGTTGTGATGAAATCAGTAATTAATTGAATGTATATTGTAGTGACAGTACAATCAGAAAGATCCGAAGACGCTGGATAAGTGCTGCAGGAAACTACACGAAAACTATTGGATCTTTTGTCACTCCAAAAATATTAGTAAGTTTCTCTGACGGGTTGATTCATACAAGTGTTGTTGAATATGCAGTCGAGATAATATGAAGTTAAGACGCTAATATGATTTACCACCGACTATTTTAGCCCTTACCCTCAAAAGATGAATAGATGTGTATCAATGTTGTAGTCTCTTCTCAATTTATTTTGAGCATCTGTAACGTCATGGTGAGTAACGAGATAGCTTAGCAAGATCGCTGTTTTTTTTCAGGAGAGATTAACCTTTTTACCTTTGTGTAAATAGCTGACATATTCACTGTGACGATATTCGAACTAATATAAAACCTGCATAGCAATATGATATGAAAAGTATTGATAGAACAAGGGTGATCATAGTTTTGTTATTTAATGGCCATATGAATGTTTGATGACCTTAGTCACAAAATGTAAACATGAATCTCAAATACATATCTCATAAATGAATACATTCTTATGTAAACAATTTTAAATCTTATCAGAATTTGTAAATTTACTTTGAATGAATTCTAAGCTAGTTGACTGAACTGTTCAGTGTTCGTTCCGTGTTTAAGGCATAAAATTCAAACAAATTGAAGGCTTCGTCCTACAGAAAATCTTGATGGAATTCCTAGGATTTATTTAAATTCAGGAAGCTGTTCTACTTTATGGTAGAAAGTTAGGTCTTATACACATATTACGGAGTTAGCGGCTCCTAATTTACATTCTCACTAATATAAATACAGTGTTTTCTTCTGTGTTTCAGTAAATCATAAAAGTAAACATAAAAGTCATTTTTGACTATCAGATCTTCGTCAAGAATCAACATCGGTTAGGTTGATCACTGAAAACCAGCCATGAGCACTGAAAAACTACTATGTCCTGGTTTTGTCTCTTCGAGAGAGTGCAGCCATGACCTCATGACTTTCAGGTTACTGAACAAGCTCGTTGGTCATCCCCCACTTGGGTTACAATTCAGTGACCCTTGAATTTTAATTCTGTCAAACCGTGATGTAGCTCTACTTTCACCAATACCTTCAATGAGCAGATACTTCATCTTGACTTAGTGGATCCTATGGATCCCGATTTTCCACAACAGCTTTGGAGAATCTATCCAGTCACTATCAGTGAGCTGGAGATAAAAGTTCAGATTATAGGATTCGTTAAAAATCTGGATCAGTTGCAATGGTCAGATTTTCTTCATAAACTAACATCATTCAATATCCCCCATAAATCCTATAACCTTAGAAGTCATTTTCACTTGAAGTAAGCATTTTAATGAGGAGACAGAAGCTGCTGAAACAAGGATAAATATCGAAGACTTAGCATTTGTTTTATTTTATTCTGAGATTAGTAAGAATATTAACACTCATAAGTTCAGCTGAAATTCCTCTTATCCAAATTTAATTGACTGCTTGTTGTAATAAATTTCCATTCTTGTGATTAATACAGATACATCTGAATGTATGTTTTGTTGATAGTTGATGGTAACGCATATTGTGAAATGTAAAATGCGCAAAATAAAAGTCCACGAGATTTTGACAGAATTAATGAATATTAAGTGATTCAGTTATTACGAGTTGATCACGGAATGATATCCCGACCGAAAGCTGCTACCTTGAAGTGGTGGTCGGGCTTGAACACCGCAATGACCTAATCAAGCTATACTGGCTGAGACTTATGTCTCTTGAGGTTCTACCATGCCAGAAAGGTTGTTTGGATAGCGGTTAAACGAAAAGCAGCTACCCCATCCAATACCATGATTCAAACAAATTCACAAAATTCATGCCGGATCGGCCGTGGCCCGGATTAACAACGACCGCGCTTCCTGCTGCCGTGTCACAGGGCAGGAGTGATAAGTATGCTACTGAGGCACACCAAACAAAGACAGACGGAATGATATCAGTTAGACAACCATTGAAAACCAGGGTATACTGGACAGCTGCTGAGATCAACTCGTGAAAACATAACTAACCCTTACAAACCAAACTATAGAAAATTAATGTGATGCTCGCCAGTGACTTGCTACATGATGGAGTTTCCTGAAGTTCTAGTGATAACTCGTGACCACTGAGGTCCAACTAGATGTCACATGTGTGGATGGATGCTTCACCAACGACAATCATGGGGGTGGCGCCAAATCACGAATTGGTAAAAGTCAGAATTCATGGACTGGCCATTGAATCGAGTCCCAGTGGCTGAATGGTAGACGAGCTTGCCTTGTAAAGGGAAGATCATGGGTTCGAATCCTGGTGGTGGGTGCGTACTGCCGATGATTCCCAAACTAGGATGAAACAGCAGCTGCTCAGTACTCCAGTCCTGGTTTTCAATGGTTCTGTAACTGAAATCAATCCGTGATCAACTCGTAAAAAATAACCAACCCTTACAGACCAAACTATAGAAAATTCACTTATCAGTCTCCCAAAACATTTAAAAGATTGAAATCTGCACCACTACCGCACCGTGTAGACATTATTAAATTTTGATGGTTCTCTGGATACCATGTTTCTATGGCTAGATCTATTTTAATGTTCATTGAATCTCCATTGAACCAAAGATAGTGTCATTTTTGAATTTTCAATTTTAGGCAGCTGCCAGAAAATATTTCAACTGCCACACTTTAGATGGAGTTGATTTAGAACACTACAATATAATAGGATCGATTGGATCACACTGGGCTACAAAAGTATTAGGAGTAAGTTAAACGATGATGACAGATTGACTTTTTATACTGATACGTTTTATATAATGAATTTATGCTCTGAGTTTGACTTTCAGAATGATTTAAAGTTTAGAAAACATTAGAGAACTGAACTTGTCATGTCATGCTTAAAATCAAAACAATTTTTCCACGCCCATTGTAAAAATTAAACCTTATAGTATCCTATGGAAGACAAAACCTACCATGAGGATATTACTTATCAACAGTTGATTGAACAAGGGCTGAACATTTGCTTATACCCGTTTGCTAGTATTTAATTTGTCAAATGCTGGTTTTCAAGGACTTGATTGGTTACAAGACTGGTCACGACCTGATATCTCTTAGAGAGCCACTGGAAAACCTAGGAGTGCTGGACAGTCGTTCCGTTCTAGTAACAATGGGTCGTTACTTGTGTTATAGTAAGAAGTCGTGACAAGTGGGACAAAGCAGGTTCGGTCTGAGGATAAATGCTCGCTGAAGACATTGGTTAGTGGTCACGCTATGTCGTTAATGGGCAGAAGTTGAAATTTATGACCATTGGGTCGGGTCCCACTGGCTAATGGTCTACGAGCTCGTCTTGTAGGTGGAAGGGCTGGGTTCAGTTCTCGGTGGGTTCGTAATGCTGAAAAGTTCCGAACTAGAACGTAACGGCTGTTCATAACTCTAACGTCTTCCAATGGTTCGCTAATTGATGTCAGTTCATGACGAAATCCTGTGACAAATCAGATGTCCGCAGACTAACCCATTAATAACAAGGAAAGAGATCTGAATTTTCCAAAACTATTGGGAAATTAGAGCTTCTTTCCGGTTCAAAGAATTGTTGAGCGTGTGAACCGAAACATTCCAAACAGGCTGCACACTTTGACCAGAGGCTATCCATACTTAAGGTCAGTTGGTTGGCAGAACCAGCCAAGAACCGCTTCCTCGACGAATATGCAGAACGAAATGGAGTTCAGCAGATTGAACTTGCTGTTAAAAAGACAGACCTGTAAGTGGTATCGCACGTCGGCCTCTAGAGTGAGAGTCGGTTGGAAAGTCAAAGATGAGTGCTGCGTCCACGTAAGAAACAAAAACCATATAAGAACGAAATGAAAGATTGTTAGTGGTCATAGATCTAGTTGTACGTGGCTTCACATAACCGAATCCAGTGGAGACGTGTTGCTGGAGCTCCCTATCTTAATCAGGTAAGGCATGCAGAACTTGCATTAAAATTGGTAATGAGCTGTAAGTATATATCTGAAGCTGTTAAACAACAGGCATTATCCATAAAGCAAGTCGTAATAATTCACAAGCAGTTACTAATATTTTTCAACATATTTCTTAGGGTCTTAAATGCATCCACAATTTTATTGGATATAGAATCAGAAATGTAGGATCTTCAAAATCCTACTTTGAATATTTTGGCTGTTCACTTTCAAATTTTTGATTTCAGACCGAAGTAATGGCACCAAGAATAATGATAGATTATGCCGTTTCTGAAATTACTTTGGCTTTCTTTGAAGATTCGGGGTAAGCGAATTTCACACTTGATTTCTTCAGACTAAATGCGTGATAGACCCGAAATTATTCCGATACCTTTTTCGCAGAAACAGACCTTATTTATATGATGTAGGGGAAATCTTTGCCGTCAAAACGTTTTATTAATACGTAACGTTTAGTTCTTCTAACGGAGGATTTTAACCAACGAATATATATATATATATTAATATGCATATTTGAGCAGTCTAACCGTATATTTAACCTATAGATCTAAGTTTACATTCATTGTGGAGTAGTGGTTGCACGCAGCTGAACAGACTCAGTTCAGAAGAAGTCATTTGTCCAATGCTACATGTTGTGCAATGATTCCCTAACTGATGCCTTATAACCAGAAGGCCCTGGGTTCGAACCTATGTGTTGGGTCCGTACTGACAAAGAGTCCCAAACCAGGAGGACGGAAACAACTGTCCAGTATACCCAGGTTTTCCAGTGGTTCTGTAACCGGTATCAGCTCGTGATGAAATCCTGTAATCAATCAATCAATCAATCAAATCCCTACAAACCAATATTTGAAAATTAATGCTATTCAATTACTAAATCATTAACGAAATCAAGTTAGTGCCCGCAAACTATGGTTAATGACATCTACTATATATTTTATTCTGACCTAAGGAAGTATGAGATGACAATATAACCACTTCCAAACGGCTTTTTTAGACTAAAATTCAAGTTATGAATGCATGTTGAATATGAATACGAATTTACTGAGAAAAATTTAGTATAATTGAGTACAGTTTGCGAAAAGAGGAAAAGTGAATGAAATCCCAGCGACTAGTAAGATTTGAACAAATTCCCATGTAGTCATTCAAAATACCAGTAACAATTCTCAAAATTAATAAACGGCCTAAATAAGAAGACATCTGATATAAAGTTGTCAGACTCAAGACTTTGTCTATCTGTTATCAGTGTCAAAGAGATAAAACCATTCAAAAGATCTTACTGCAAAAACAAGATCGTGTGCCAGTGGTTTGAAGATAGAATGTTCATCAACAACACACGCCATCTGGGGTTCGATCCCCAACCGATGTACTCATAAACCTCTCCTGCAAGGTAGTAAATCCATTGGAGGAGGAAAGTGTGGTGTGGGATCGGTAACCTCACCTCGTAAAGACTACACTACTGTTTTTGGAACTTTAAAGCTCAAGTTTGAAGACCCATGTTCCACTAAAAACAGAAAGGAGTAAATAATAATAGATATAATCCCAGTGTCTTATCCAAATGAATCCATCTGTCTTCCTTATACACATAGCACAGCATCTGCTGACTAAATAAAAGATTCCGGGAAATTCGCATGTTATTTAAGCCTAGAAGAGTACAGGCATTTTGGTTTTATACTATGCTTTCTTTCGCCACACAGATTGCTCTACTGATGGATTCTCTGCCAAGAAGTAAATCAGGCTAAAGAGTCAAGTATATTTGCTTAATAAATATATATATGTATCACTCCATGAAGTAGAATAACTGAATACAAGTGATTAGCATCTCAGTCTACTTATTTCGACAAACAGAGTTTGGTAGATTGGTGTTTCCAGGAATCTTTGTCTTGTAGTTACTATTCGCTTTATTTTACCACCCAGTGATTCGACAACTGTTCGTCTGAGATGCGAAAAATGAAATCTAGTGATGTTCTGTCCTCCTAGCATTAATGTGCTAAAGAGTCCCCAGTTATCTGCTTACAGTATACACGTTTATAACCGTCATCACCTGATTTTAGCGTGAACATCTCGATCTTCGATGTTAGAAAATAGATTTTATAACGTTTTTCTGCATGAGACAAATTTTTGTAGTATCATCTCTTCCAAAATACAGTGTTCATTTTGGGGTAAAGAAACACGGCAAAAAGCGATGCATTTTTATCTTTAACCATGCCATTGAAATAGAAAGCTGTTTACTAGGAACAATAATTTCACTAGTCACTAAAAAATGTCGATTATTTGGAGACTGATGTTATGTGACGTGAATGATCACTGGATGTTTTATTTGTGAAAGGGTAGAACAAGGATTCATTAGCTTCAGCAATTTGTGAGGAGCAGGCAAATGCGGATACTGTGCCACGTAATGACGAACAAGTATCACCTATTTAACTTTATTTACAGCTAGCGAATTACATAGTTGAGGGGGAAACACACAACAGTTGCCATTAAAAAACACCTAATGATCCCATGAGTGGAGACCAAGAAGTTAAGCAAAATACTATGACCATATATGCAGTTGATCGAATTAAGTGACCGAAAATCACTCACGCCCAAATTTCCTACTTTTAACTGTGTAATCGGTAAACAATGAATTCATTTCAAGTATCCAGTTTTCGGAATAGATCGGACTTTGTGAATCGACTGCAAACTTGTGTGTGGCTGGTTGAAAACGGCCTCATTGAGAAAAACTAACGTCAAGTGTTCAGGTTACTTAGACCTGGTAAGCAAGTAACACTGCTTGATGCGAATAATTCCTGACAGCTCTTATCGGAAGACTAATATACTCTCCACAAAGAATTCTACAGCATGAATAGAAACACTAGAGGATAAATACTGTACCTATTCAATTCAGTGTTACGTAGCAGGACGTCATGCAAACGGCGAATGTAGCCGTTTGAGGCTTGAAACAATGCTCCACTAAAACCCACTGGGTTTCTGAGAGTTCCTTGCAGCTGCTACATGGACTCCGGTCCATTCCGGCTGGTAGTGAATACAACAATAAGCAAAAGGCGTTTACATTCAAGATTAGACAGTGTTTAATGGAGGACCACGAAGCCACGTGGTCATAAAGTGCGTGTGAGATGGAGTCAGTTGCTGCATCTGGCAACAGTCGGAAGCTGTTCCAGCTCACCTGAGCCACTAGTAGCAGAAACAAGATATCGGCGAGACGGTCTGTGAGGCAAATGGCACGCCAATTACCAGCCTGAAAAGACGCCTGGAAGGCTGGGCAGATCACTTCGGGAAACAGTATAGCTGGTCACCAGTTTTATTATCTGCTGTCATTAGCTCCAGTGCTCCTAGGTTGGCTAGTACCGACCCACTAACCGAAGCGGAGGTCCACAAGGAACACCAAGTGTTAAAACAGTATAAGGCGGAGAGTTGGTCAGTCCATGATGCGGCATTGTGGGACGAAGGATATTTGTGCTAGGTTAGCATCAGTTGGTGCGTCACGACTTCCTGGTTGGAGTCAGAGAGATAGCCCGAATTGATGGCTCGGAACGTTGTCAGATATGGCCAAGAATCGTAATCAATGGCGAACGTGCTGCAATTTCCGTCTTTCTTCCCTTCCTCATGATAGTTGACGAATACCGTTTGAACTTGTTAAGTATGGCTGTTTTCCTTCCTGATAAAGTTCCTTATCTGTTCTACACCTATATTTTTACTTTTAATCTATGCTGTTTTATTATTATTATTATTGTGTGGCACATCTTCTTTGTACCAAGTTTTTATGCGTTTCAATAAAAAATAGAAATATACATTACAGGAAATAGTTTGCTGAATAAGTCAGGAGTGAGTTTCACGAATGTTGGAACCTGAAATTGTCGAACATTAGTGCAAATTAGACATAAACATTTTGAATTACCTGTTTTTTGTTGTTGTCAGATGGTACAAAGTTAATTACAACGCAGCGATGAACATGCAATATGGGAAAAATCTTGGATGTGACTTTGCAACTAAGAGTTGCTATGAATATGCGGATATTCAAAAGAAAAAGTAAGAATCTACTTTCTTCTTTGTTTTCATATCTTCCACAGAAAAGTTCATCGAGAACCGACAGCCATTTAGGTAACCATCTAAATAGGGTAGCTCCAGAGAACTGTCCCGGACTTTTAAAATTGACTAGAATATGAGATTTAGTTTTTAACAACTCAAAATATGTTGAAAATATAGTTGCTGAGTACAACTAGTGTGGTAGAGCTGGCTGCCAGCCAAAATTGTGCACAATAATTAACAATAATTAATTCAGTGTTTACGTCATGAATCGAGGTCATAAGAAAACCAATAGTAAAGTTCAACCTTCAGGAACTCAACAACCAATCAGAGCAGAATCAACGTGTGCAAATACGATTCTCAGATATATGGCCATCAGTTTCTGAGAAACGGTCACAAGCAAGCAGTACAGAATAACTTTCGGCAAGAAAACAAACAGTCAGAAGGTGTTGCTTCTCCGCTGACAGTAATGTAAATAAAAATCTACAAATATCTCTTGATTTTCCCAATAGAGTATCTGTTGCCTGGACATTGTCTTTTGTCGCTACACTGAGATTTAAGTGCTACAGAAGATGTGACAAATAAAGGAAGCTCTACGAACTATGCTTTCCAACCCTACATTTTAACAAAAATAAGTTTCCCTGGTTTGTTAATAAATATTTAAAGAAACTTGTTTAACAACAGATGCGTTGAGTTATTTCGTCTGTATATGAACCACATAGTTTGAAGTGATGGACATTCATTCAGAATCAGCTTTTCAGTCAAAACAACTTCTGATATGAGTTTAAAATCACACGCACTTTTGAGTCAAACAGTGATTCAAACAGATATGCTGTATCCAATAAACGTATTTGGCTTCTATGAAAAATGTTAGTCATGTTCATTTATCAGATTTTCAACCATTTAAAAAATTTATCTTACACAGACTTTCTAATTTTCGCTCAATTTTATTACATTCTTTTTACTTCAAAGGGGTCAAAAGTTCTTACCTTTCTGTGACAATAAACGTCAAGCAACGTGTAGAGATGCCTACTCTTATGGGGTTTGCAGCATATGGACATACCCTGATGGTGTACCAGCAGAAGATCAGTTTTTCAAAAATCCACCTTACACTTCTAGTTATAGTGCTAGATATTTTGGAGGTGATGATCCCCATAGGGATTTTTGTCCAACGCAAACGGTAGGTATATTTTGGAAAATTTGATTACGTTTAAGATGGTGATTTTGATAGTGACAGAAACGTCTTATTGACAGACTAGATGACTTTATAGCAGTACCTTCACAAGTATAGCATGCTGCAGGTAGGTTTGTCTGAAGTTGATGATCCATGCTGAGTTGCATAAAGCGCTCAAGTCCATCTTCAGGGGAAAAATGGCAGAGAAATCCTAAGTAATCAGAGATTATGTCCTACAAGCTAAGGAAATGCTATTATTGTGATAGGTTATGGGCGGAAGAATTAGACGAAAATGCAACGGATACAGGTATGGTAGCTAAGAAAATGTCTACATAACTGCATAAATGGAATAAAACAATTCCAACAGTGGTGTGAACACGGGCAGTAATTTTGCTCGAAATATTATCAATAACAAAACTTATCATTGCGTGTAAACTATTAAAATATAATTATACTTTATTTAACTGCATAATATTTAAGCCGCACCTCTCTCTGACTAGTTTCCTGGACAGTCTGTAGGTGCTTTCAACCAGGTGAATTGCTTCTATTTTTGAAAGCATGGACATCAACTTCTAGATAGATAAAAACACCTAAGAACTGTTGTAATTTATCACACATATTAGGTTTGGAGAGGGGATGGAGTACGTAATGTGTTGGTTGTTCCCTTGTGGAATGTACACCAACCAAGCACATGGCCCGGTGTTTGGTCTCTCGCAGACACCCGAGAAGTAGTAAGCCCGAAAATGAGAAAGGGTTGGTCATGAGGCTATCATCTCTGTTCCGCAAAAAATATGATCACTGCTCCTGAAACTTCAAAACGCAAGCTTGTAGCCCTATGTTTGACTAAGCAAGGAAAGAAACGATTAAATCATCAAATGTTCCCTGTACTAGACACTTTGAAAGAGGAAGCACTTAATAGAATTCATAACGTGTGTTTTGCAGATAGCTGGCAGAACAGCAAATACTGTGAAATGTTACAAATTATGTTTTAAATCTCATCATTTTATGAATAATTTCTAAAGTTCTGTTCTCTGTGCAATAATTCTTTGATAATTACTGATGTTCTTTTAACTTCAATACATTACTTAATTCATTTTGAACTTTTCCACTGAGTGACTGGATTGAAGTACCTGGTCTCAGGTTGACACGTCACCTCCTTGTTCAGATGCTTCGACAATGTCTGATTATTTAACTTGAATTAAATTAGTGGATGGTGGCTGGGAGTGGAATCCAGGATGCGCATTTAGTCCTACTTTGGACTAGTCATCTGAACGAAGTGTTCATCTCGGATCCCATTGCTACTTACCATTCGCAAATTTACTTTAGGTACATCAAATTTGATAAATAGCATTTAGCTGAGTCAATTTTAATTCGAGGCTTTTTATCCTTACAGTATGTCAGTAGCCTTGGAAGTGATTACCAAGCAACTTCTTTCTGCACTCACACTGAAAACATAGATAGATCAAGTAAGTAGTTTGTCATTTTGTTTCAAAATTTCTCTTCAATCCAATGCAGAAAAGACGCTTACTGAAGGCATGAAATGTTTATCTTAACAAGGATGTTGATAATATTCAAAATTAATTTGTAAATTTTAATCCACAGAGTAATAACTACAGACAGTATTCTACTCATATTAGACTGCCAAGGAGAAAAAACCACCCAAATACAGGCTACCCACCTGGAAGATACATTAGTATTGGTAATACATATGCATTTCCATGCGTCGGTGGCACAGTGGTTAGGACTCTCGCCGACAATGCACATGGTCCGAGGTTCGATCCCCTGCCGACGCACACCTGATATTATGGTCGGCCTGCAAATGTGGGCTACTGATATCCATGCTGAAAATTCCATGCTTATACCAAAAATACAGTGTGGAATCAAGCAGTAATCAAAAAAATAAAAAATGTACTGTGTGATTATTGAATGGCGCATTCGATTATGTATACTATCAAACATCTCAACTACCCATCCAGATCTCCGATAGTTTTAAATAGTTTGGATTTCTGAAATGGGTCGAGAAGGATACGCTTCTGATAAGCGTAGGCGCAAACGAGTGAAATGGCTCTTCACTGTATGGATCACCACCGTTTGACCTGAATAGTCTTCAGGTACCCATACCAAGTAGCAGTGCATAGGATCACATAAATCCAGTTAATCTGTTGGTGGACCAATGCCTAAAATATTTTAGTGTATAATATACCAAAAGTGACTTGAAAAATATTGCAGAACTCTCAGCACTCCCTATAACAAATTATTTACTCCAGGTTTAGAATCTTCAGGTAAATTAACGATGCGTAATATATCGTCTGAAGCCATGTTGTTCAATCCAGAGAAAATTCCAATGACCTATTATTAGTTATTCCCTGTTTTGTTGAAAACATCCATAGCTGTAAGTTGAGTCCTATTGGAAAACAGGCGTGAGTACAAACTACAATTCAAAAATGTAAGTGAATCATTAAAATTACGTGTAATAGTGTAAATAAGATGCAATTTAATGGATGCAAAATTAGGTAGGCCAGTAATTTAAGTAGGCAGCCTAAAATCAGCTAATTTTATGAAGGATTAGTTTTCCACATTGTAAGTCGTTGGAAACGGTTGACATTTAAAACTCTGTATTCGCGAGCTGCCACTGTCTGAATCTTTTCATTTAAGATCAATTATAAATAATGCTGACGCAGAACACTTCTTTGCCTCATAGAATGCCATTATTACACTTAATAGAGTCTTAGGGATTTCATTGAATATCTTTGTCAAATTCAGGATCCAGATAAGCTAATAGAAGTGTTATAGAATCGTTGTTGGATTCACTTAATTGCTACCATTCTTCCATTTGCCAGACTAGAAACAACGAATTCGTTTTGAGTTATTAGATGGGTTATCGTTTATACGAAATTGTTGAAAGTGAATTTGTACTACAAAACTTCTATTTAGAAACGAAGCTTGAAACTGACAGGACATTAGTAGAAAGTGGAATATTATTTGAGATTGATTTTCGATCTTAAGTTTTTACTCCAGTCGATGTTGCTCGCCTCTTGATTAAACCATCGGGCTTTTTGAATTTCCATCCACCGTAATGCGTCGGCTTTCCTGCATTTCTTATAATTTTAATCTTTCAGTTGTATTGTTGTAACGTAACGTAAAAACAAGCGAATTTTTAAATGACTTTCAACCTACCGCCGTTTGTACATTTCAACAAGAAAATGAAGAATAAATGTCTCAGGGGACCAAGCCATGTTTCAATGACGCTGTGCCTAACAAAAAACTGTTGAAGGATAAATTTTTTTCAAGTAATTATGCTGAGAGTTCTGTACTGAGCTGGAACATAATTTTCAAATGAAGCATATATTATTATGGTAAGGGTTATTTTAATTAACATTGTTAGAATCTGTTAAAACACACTAATCGGAAAATTATTTGAATCACCAGAGAATGGGACTAACTACTATTTTCAAACCTACGGTCGGAAATCCATTTGTTTGGAGCATCGTGGAGTTTGGTCCTACACAAATGGCTACACAGTCACTTTAGATAGTTATTTGCAGGGAAGTTGCCATAAAGTAAGCTTTTGAAAGTAGGTTTTTAATTAAATTGATAAGTATTTAGCCATCACTGGTTTTAAGAGGTAAAATTATTATTTCACTCACAGTATTCCGTCAAAACTTTTTTCAAGACAACAACGGAGGTTGTGATCCAGGTAGACTGATGAATAAATTGCAAGTGTGGCTTCAATTACATCTTTAAGTTTTCATTGGGTCAGTTTTATAACCAGTTGGTTGTATTATTTCCATTTTAACACCTATAAGGTTAAATGGACTTGATTAAAAATTTCGATTGCGGTTGTACGAAGGCTGAACTCTTACTGAAGGTTGATTCTTTAAACTTCTCGATGAATTCAGTTGTGGTGCAGGAATCTGAATAGAATACTGCAAAAGTATATGATAGTTGAACAATTTTCCTAGTGTCCCTGATTTAAAATTGTATGGATTGACTATGACTGAGGTGCACTGCATCATGAAACAGGTTATGTAAGTAGTGTTAGTTTACTCAAAGTTTAGTGGGTGGAATATACGCCCGGCTGAGCCCATGTTTCTCCCGGCCGGCGCACACGGCTTTGTGCGTCGGTGCACAGTGGTTAGGACTCTGGCCTACCATGCACATGGTCCAGGGTTCGAGCCCACGCCACGCACACCTGATATCTATGGTTGGCCTGCAAAATTTGAAGTACCGATTCCACGCTGAAAATTCCATACCTGTACCAAAAATACGGTGTGAAATCAAGCTGTAATCAAAGATAGATAAAATAGATAGCGGCAAATTTATTATTTACCATGTTTTGCGAAAGATGCAAGGCAACAACTTCACAATTATAAATATGCATATATACTGCCAATTGCCTCCAACCATCTTATACCAACAATTCACGGTGCACCGTGATGGCAAACCACTTAGCATGGTGGCCACATTTCAAACTAGACTGACAGAATCCAGTCCGCACAATAGATTGGAGTAGACACATTGCACTAGTTACTGATTACTGTCCAATCAAAAAGATGCAATACAGTCCTACGAGAGGTCAATCGCGAACCTGAATAGCTCAGTGGTAACGTATCTGACTGCAGCACTGGATAACGCGGGGTCGAATCTGAGAAGCGACATCAGTTCCTTCAAGGTCTGCAGATACGCCTTGGTGACGAAATAAAGGTCAGGCGAGGCTTCCTGCCGATTGCCTCCAACCTTCTAATAAAGAGATGTCTGCTTATAACCACATTTGGAACTTATTAATAGTGATATATCTTTTCTTACTAAATGCCTCCACCTGTTTCATTTCATTCATTGGTTATTTCATGATGAGCCTCTCATTGCAGTCTTACTATCTCCTCTTTGATACATACTACTTTGTACTAGCCACTCACTCACCTGACACCTTGTCAAACCTTGACCTGACTTGTCAATTTTCCTTCCCCACATTCTGCAAATCTGTTATGACTAATCACCACCACTGGCTCCCATTCTACAATATTTTTTAGTCGATTTCAGCCTAGTACGTTTGTCGCACATATACGACTATTTATTTTGACACACCATAGCTAATCTGTTATCCTACGTTAAAAATGTATCCAACGCATAACTAGCCATTATTTTAACGACAATAAATATTATATTTTATAATTGTACGAATCTGAAGAGGAGAAACTATTGAAAGGAATATTCTTTGTTCAGAGTGACTTTTAATTCATGATATGGGAATATTTAACACTATTAAATCTAATAATGGTCATGATTTTCGCCTGATGTATCACATTTTTATTCCTTGAAACTTATCTGACATCAGTAAATTCCGACTAATTCTGTCTATGTGTTTACTACATTTCCTACAGTATGAATGTTCACCTAAAAAGAGACTCAAGGTGTTTTTCAAAGGCACTAAAGTAAACTGTCCTCCGAACGGTGGACCAATTAAATTCAACGTGACAGATGGATCTGTTCGACTTGTTGGATCAATAGTTTGCCCAAGTGCGACCGAGTTTTGCAAGGTGAATATCATGAACATATATGCATATATGTTTGGAATTCGTCTGCGTCGTAATTCCTGCGAATATTCTTTCAATTATTCCTTGAGATGAATCGGCTATTTTTCATACATGTAAATCCGATGAGAGATTTTATCTAATCAGACTTGCCTCCAGAAAATGTTCTTATATGTGACTTGATTTCACAAGCCATGTACCTTAAAGCCTTAAAAGTCGGAATCTACCATTATATATAGAATTCCTGGACTATTGGCAATGGGTATAAATTCAGTAATAACAGTTAGTCGGCAACTCTGAAAAGCCCACGAATTATGAATAACAAAATGGAGACTTCACTGAAATTCATATAAGTGAATTGGATCTGTTATTACTAAAAGACAGAATAATTTTAGAAAACATTCATTGAATGGACCACACATTATGAAATATATACTGAGTTGAATTTTGGACATCAAGCATCATTTTGTAGTGAAACAGGTTTCTTAGTATAAGTTTCTTTGTTGAAAAGTAAAAACACTCAAAATGAATGTTTTTGGGGTTAATAATAATCGGAATGGGATAATACAAACACCCAAGACAAATTTCCCCAGATAATTAAGTGAGGAAACGCGGTCAAACCATTTATCCGTGGTAAGAAATTAATTGGTTTCCTAGAATATGAGTCCACAAATTGGAACACATAGATTATTATAATTGGAGTTTTTCAGACTGTAACACCTGACCTTCTCAGTTTCAAAATGAAAACGACAAAATCTCGTTCACGAAAATATTTCATAGGCTCTAGTTCAACCTAAATACTAACCTTCATCAACGGACTATTCTCTATGCTGATTAAGTACCTCTTGAATGTCGATAACATTACACATCTTTATCAGACATGCCACAAATAATTACAAATAATGTACTTGTGAGTAACAAGTTATTTAACACCCTTTCTAGTGAGACTATCTTGGAAAGAATTGGTTTCCAATCTAAAGCGTAAATAACCTGTTTTACTTTGCATCAGTAATTTGAACTGGTAGGACCGTCTCAAACCATTTAAATGGTGTTTGTTCCATTCCGGGCCGACACACTCCAAATCCTCTTAGTTTACTAGCTGATGGCAAGTGAATTTCAGTAGAGGGTGAGAAACCCTACTTTGCAAAGAATAATACCACCGCTGCTAGAACTTTAAAACAAAACACCTAAAGCCTGTTTACTCGGTGAAGAATTGAAAAAATATAAATGACTATTACTTTCGGTTGTTTTATCCAGTCAAATATTCATGAATATTGTTTCTCTATGAACTCCTTTTTCTTTTCAGTGAATGGCGTTATCATCACTTGAAAATGAAAATATGCTACCTTAGTGTTGTGTTGTGTTGTGGATCAAAATATATTTTTATAAATTTAAGCAAACTGTTAACTGTGATCGTGACATATCGTATTCATTCCATTTTAACTGGTCCTTGTACACAAATGTACTTTAGATAATGTAAAAATATAAGAGTATGAATTATACTGCTTTTATTGGTTTGAATTAATTCCTTCACTGTCCTTATGTGCAAAAGAGATTCTGTTTACCGAAAGGTGTAATGAATAAGAACAAAATACTGTTGAGGCAGACTTCAGCAATTCGGGTAAATTTATGGCTAGTAGGGTGATTCACACATGACTACTATAGGGATCAGAGACTTGGTTCCGCGTTACGAAGGGCACTTTAAACAAACTACAGACCTTCATCAACACCTATCTTCGCTCAATACTACTCAAGATCAGATGGCTGGCCAGACGAGATCAGCAACAGGGAGGGATCTTTGACAATGCGTGAATCAATACAGCAGAAACAAATTGAGTAACAAATACGCAGGAAGAAATGGAGGTGGATCAGTCAAACTCTGAGAAAACAAGCCATCAAGTGAGTGACAT